TCAAGATGTGCAGGTGACACCACCCTTATGGCAGAAAGCGAAGAACTAAAGAGCCTCTTGATGAAAGTGAAAGAGGAGGATGAAAAATTTGGCTTAAAATTCAACATTCAGAAATCTAAGATCATGGCATCCAGTCCCATTACTTCATGGCAAATAGATGGGGAAACAATGGGAACAGTAAGATACTGTATTTTGGGGGGCTCCAAAATTACTGCAGATGGTGACTGCAGGCATGAAATTAAAAGACACTTGCTCCTTGAAGAAAAGTTGAAGAAAACTTGAGGAAAAGTTATGACCAACCTAGACAGCATATTCAAAAGCAGAGACTACTTTACCAACAAAGGTCCATCTAGTCAAAGCTATGGTTTTTCCAGTAGTCGTGTATGGATGTGAGAGTTGGACTATAAAGAAAGCTGAGCACCAAAGAATTGATGCTTTTGAACTGTGGTGTTGGAGAAGACTCTTGAGGGTCCCTTGGACTGCAAGGAGATCCAACCAGTCAATCCTAAAGGAAACCAGTCCTGAATATTCATTGGGAGGACCGATGCTGAAGCTGAAACTCCAATACTTTGGCCACCTGTTGCGAAGAACTGACTCATTGGAGAAGACCCTGATGCTGGGCAAGATTGAAGGCAGGAGGTGAAGGGGACAACAGAGGATGAGATGGTTGGATGGCATCACCGACTCAATGGACATAAGTTTGAGTAAACTGGACAGGGAGGCCTGGTGTGTTACAGTCCATGGGGTTGCAAAGAGTTGGATACTACTGAGCAACTGAACTGAACTGAATATTCCACTATATATATATATATATATACCACATCTTCTTTATCCATTCCTCTGTCAGTGGACATTTAGGTTTCAACTAGATATATCTTTTTAAGAAACCCTGGGGGTCTACCTCACCCTCCTTTTTTTAAATAAATGGGGGAGGGGGCCTGGAGAAGCCCCTCCTGCCTGTACTCTGTTGGCAGGATGAGCTTTTAGGCGGCATCCTTCTCAGTCTCCCTAGAGCGCCTGTGAACAGCACCGACCAGCTCCCTCCACCAGTCAGGCGCTGCCCCAGGTACCCTCTTGGACCCGTGGGTCTGCGCTCTCCTGACGCAGATGGCCATCCTCAGTCACCAGTAGCTGGAAGCAAGGAGGACAAAGTGACTTCCACCATGTTCCCATCAGAGGGCTGTCGCTTCTTGAGAGGGCCCGTGAGCACACGGAGGAGCCGGAGGCCTGACTGATCCATGGGAAGATGCCTGCGTGAATTCACACTGTCACCAAACAGTAGGGATGGTTTAGGACGTTCTTGCCTAAAACACAGGGTTTCTGGCATAAAGCACCTTTATTCTGGAGAGCCCTGGAGCCCCATTGGGATACACAGTTGTTTTCCGGTAGCTGAAAGCAGTGTAACTTAGTGGCTATGCAGACTTTTAAACACCCTGTGAACTGAGATACATGATGGTGAATGAAATAGAAGTCAACAAAGGCAGACGCCCCGAGCACAGGCTAGGACCCGAGCTATTGTCCACACTGGCAGTTTCTGAGTGAGAGGGCAGCTGTGGTTTCTGCAGTGAGTGAGCGAACATCAGCGGGTGACCTACGGATGTGGACAGTCTCCCTTCTCTGCACGTCCCTCACCCCCACGTCCCACCTGGGGTTCTCCCCTCTGCCCCCTCATGCCCATCAGCTCCTCATCCTGCTGGCCTTAGTACCACCCAGAGCAAGAGGGGCTGCTTCCTCTCCCATGGCCCCAAGGTGTACCCCCATCCCCAAACCCCCCAAACCCCCTGATATCCCCCTACACCCCTGCCACCCCCACCCCATCTGCAATCTGCATGCTGAGCACTGTGGGACCCCCAGGGGGCGCTATTCACAGTGAAGGCCCAGGACAGCCTATGTGGACTTAAAACTCCTGGCACAAAACAGTCTTGAAGGACGGGGTCTTTATGTAATGCACATAGCAGTCATGTGTGAGCTTGTAGTGGCCTTGATCCTACTGTCCTGTTATCTCTGGGCAACCTAGCATTGATCTAGGGCCTATGTTTCTCCACTGATCTTCCTACGCCTAAATGACCTCCAGCCTTTCCTAGTACATATTCCATAATGTACTTTATAGAATACATGCAAGCATCAAGTATCCTTCCTCCCATGTAATATATGACCCTTGAATTAAACAGTCTCAGCATCAAATGGGGTGGGGTCTTGTAGGGATCTTCTGTAACTGTATAAATCTAAATAATGGGAGTAAATCTCTTTTCTCCTCTACAACATACACTTCATTGTACAGATCAGAGGTCATCAGACTTTCTGTAAGGGTTCAGGTAGCGAATATTTTGGCTTTGCAGGTAAACAAGCTCTTGCAACGATTCAGTTCCACCTTGCAGCACAAAAGCAGCCACAGGCTACACATAAATTGAATAAGTGTCACTGGGTCTCAATAAAAGTTCCCTGGTGGCTCAGCTGGTAAAGGATCTGCCTGCAATGTGGGAGACCTGGGTTCACTCCCTGGGTTGGGAAGATCCCCTGGAGAAGAGAAAGGCTACCCACTCCAGTATTCTGGCCTGGAGAATTCCACAGACTGTATAGTCCACAGGGTCGCAGAGAGTTGGACACAACTGAGTGACTTGCACTTTCACTGTCACTATGGACGTGCGTGCATGCGTGCTCAGTTGCTCAGTTGTGGCTGACCCTTTGTGACCCCATGGACTAGAGTCCATCAGGCTGCTCTGTCCATGGGATTCTCCAGGCAAGAAGACTGACTGGAGTGGGTTGCCATGCCCTTCTCCAGGGGATCTTCCCGACCCAGGATCGAACCCCAGTTCTCCTGCACTGCAGGCAGATACTTTACTGTCTGAGCTGCCGGGGAAGGAGTGTCTTAAATAACTTCTGTCCTCTCCTTCTGCATAACAGGCCAGCCCCATGTTTACTAAGGAAGGACGGGGAGGCCCCGAGAGGCCTTCGGTGAAGCCAGCTGGGTGTCAGCATAGCTCTTCCCTACGCGAGCCTGGCCCCTGACTGGCACCTAGTCAGAGCGCTGGCCCTGCGCTTGAACTCTGAGTCTGTCACCCCCTGAAGCTGGGCCTGAACCCCACCCAGTCTGCCCCAGGACACTGGACTGTCTCCGCCCTGAACCCATTGCAGCCTCATCAGAATCTAGTCCCCATGACCAGCCTGCCTGCCCCTGACTAGCTGGCACCTCCTTTTGTGGAGGGTGGCACAGAAGAGCTGATTCCCCACAGTGCATCTGCCCCCTTCCGGCTGGACCGACCTTTAGCCGGTTTTCTTCCCGCTGTACACATGTTCTCCCTACCTCAACCAGCTGCATCATAGGGCCCAGCAGAGGAAGCGCTCACGCCCTCAGTTCCCTAAATGGTTTGAGGGCGGTCTTTACAGCTGCCCTCCACTACCTCCGGGAGCTGGTGAAGGACAGGGAAGCCTGGCGTGCCGCAGCCCATGGGGTCGCTCAGTCGGACACGACTGAATGGCAGCTCTCTCCAACCCTGTCTCAACTCAAGGCGAAGCTGATTTACAAAGCAGACATCTCATAAGGGGACTCCCCTGGGGTGCGCGTCCTTGCCTCTCGTCACCCTGGGCGGCAGGGGTCACAGTGGTTGGTTAGCAAGTCAGCCCAAGGGCCAGTACCTCACCAGAGCTACAGGGCCACCTGAGACAGCAGGCGGTTCCATCAGCCAGTCCTAGGTACTTCACGGACCTGCCATCAGCATCCCTACTTCCCGCTGCCAAGATTAGGCTACCCATGGGGGCTTCTTTCTGAAGCAGAGCTTACGGCAACATGTCACTTTCTATGTGTGTTGGAGGGGAGGCGTGAAGTAACACATCCATTTCCTAAACCTCAGGAATCAGATAAGTGGATTTTTAGCCCATCAATACTTGCCCCGTCAGAAGACCAGCAGCCCAGTGGATACACTGTTGGCCACGAGCTTGTTCCCTTGACACGCCTTGCTCAATGTATGTGACACATCACGTTATGAATGCAGTGCTGATGCAGCTTCTGCAAAACCAACCCCCTTCCTAACTTTTCAAGCAATCCAGTGATACAAGTCAGAAGTTCTTGCTGCGTGGCCTCTGGCTGAGTCTGCTGGGCATTACCTAAGAAAACAAAGTTTTAGATAGCATCATAGCAAAAAGCTGAAACTCTGCAGAAAAGAGGCTAAAATAAAGAAGGTGGAGAGGAAAACCTCCACATAGACTTTCAAATGTCTGTTTATTTATTTACAGTTTTTGGCCACACTGTTCGGGGATCTTAGTTCCCCGACCAGGGGTCAAACCCACCATCTCCAGCACCAGAAGCGCGGAGTCTTAACCACTGGATCACCAGGCATGTCCCTATACAGGCTTATAAAAATTAATGAAACAGTCTTTTATTTCTAGTTTGGAAAAAAAAAAGTCCCTTAAATTACTACAAAACTATTTACAGGATTAATCACATTTTAAGCTGGGAGACTGGGTGTCAAGGGCCACTCAGTGTCCCTTGTTGGGAGAGGCTGGGACAGGTTCTGTGACCTGCCCAAAGGGCCCACAGTCCTTGCCAGAACCAAGGAGAGGACCCCGTCTCCTGACCACCCAGCCCAGGAAACAATGTCTGAAATATCACAGGGGTGTCACAGCCTATTTGCTAACAATTACATGCCTTTTTAGTGTTTAAGCAAAATCTTTTTTTTTGGTATGCAGAATCAGTCTAGAAACTTGTAGGATTTAAGCCTTGTGGCTCAGTTCGTGAAGAATCTGCAGGCAATGCGGGAGACCCTGATTTGATCCCTGGGTTGGGAAGATCCCCTGGAGAAGTGCCTGGAGAACTCCATGCACTGTATAGTCCATGGGTCACAAAAAGTTGGACATGACTGAATGACTTTCACTAGTTAAAAAAAATGTTTGTCTCTCCCACAACTGACTTCTTCCCAGGCACCCCCGGGGTCTTTTCGTGACGAGACTAAGGAGCAAGTGGCTCCACCCAGTCTTGACAGGCACGTCGCAGCTTCCTTGGCTCAGAGAATGCCTTCTGTGGGCTGGTGGCTCGGATCAGCACTTTGGGGACAACCTTCTTGTTCATTCTCTGGAAACGTCACGATGGACACGGAGTCCCAGGCGTCATCCTTTGGCGAGCTGTCCTTGTCCAAAGCGTCTAAGATGGGCTGATCTGGATCCTTTAAATACTTGAAAAATTGAAAACCACAACCATAATTAGTCTGTAAGTTCCAGATACCAGACCTTTTGACTTTAGTTTGAGTTGGCATAATCCTATTTCATTTCAATGTAACTTCCACTTCTGTCTATCAATGAAACAGCTTCAAAAACCTGAAAACCCCTCCATGCCCCTCATCTCAATAGCTTTCACACCAATCCAAGGGCCAACCAAGGGGATACTCTGAAGGTGTGTAAGTTGTGTAACTCGGGAAATGAGTTGCTGCACTGATTTGCTGCACTGGATGAGGGCTTGTGGGTTATTCACCTGGAATGTCTCTGGAATTCTACCTTTTCAGGGAAGGAGGAAATGAAGCCTCCTGGTCACCTGCAAGGTGAGGGTGAAGAAGGAAAGTTCATGGGCATTTTTTTTCTCAGCTACCCCACCTGCTAGGTGTCTCTGCTTTGTATAACACACACATGCTTTATACAACACACACGTGCTTTATGTAACACACACGCTTTATATAAAACTCATGCTTTATATAGCACACATGTGCTTTATATAACACACACGTGCTTTATATAACATGCTTTATAGAACACACACATGCTTTATATAACACACGCTTGGTATAACACACGTGCTTTATGTAACACACATGCTTTGTATAAAACACTCATGTTTTATATAACACACAACGCTTGTTATAACACACACGTGCTTTATATAACACAGACATGCTTTATATAACACACACTGCTTGGTATAACACACGTGGTTTATATAACAGACATGCTTTATATAACACACATGTGCTTTATATAACACACACGTGGTTTATATAACACATACATGCTTTATATAACACACGTGGTTTATATAACACAGACATGCGTGCAGAGGACCTGCAGTGTGCAGCCGTGGGCGAGTGAGCAAGTGCAGACCCTTGATGTGAGCAGCTGATCCACACCCTTAACGAGCTGTGTCTCTCCTGCCTCCTCTCTCCTCTCTCTTTGGGCTTAGACATCAATTACCAAGTTACTAAGGGCTTCCCAGGTGGCTGGCGGTAAAGAATCCACCTGCCAAAGCAGGAGACGCAGGTTCAATCCCTGGGTCAGGAAGATCCCCTGCAGGAGGGCATGGCATCCCACTGCAGTACCCTTGCCTGGGAAATCCCATGGGGATTTCCTGGCGGGCTACAGTCCAGGGGGTCGCAGGGAAGTCGGACACGACTGAGCGACCGAACAGCTACCACCACAACCAAGTGACCAAGAAGCGCCTGCGTGGCTCCCGGAGACGCTGAAAGAAACTGCAAGCAGCAGCTCAGAGCTGGCTGCTGACAAGAGCAACAGCAACGTGCCATGTGCACTTGCGAAACCTCAAAAATACAAGCGAAACATGAGTCATTTTTCTCATGTAACTTCAGTGACCTTTGATATAGACTTTTCACACTTTCCCAGGAAAGCAAATCAAAAGACTTTGTGTTTTAGGTTCAAGCCCCAAAGAAACAAGTAGCAGTAAATTCACTGGGACCCTGCTGCTAGTTCTACTGAGAGAAAGAGTTGGGTTTTTTTTGGGGGGGGGGTTGTTTCTTAGTTTTTTTGGCTTCGTCACACAGCATGCAGGATCTTAGTTCCCTGATCAGGCACTGAACCTGTGCTCCCTGCAGTGGAAGCGCAGAGTCTTAACCACTGGACCTCCAGGGAAGTCCCAAGATGGAGATTATTAATGCAAGTAAAACTCTGAGCTGACAGCTTTTCTTTTTTGACAGTGATAACCAGGAAAATTTGTTGTTTTGTTGCCGTTACTGCAGTTTTGTGGTAAGAACACCTAACTTGGGTTCTACTCTCTCAACACATTCTGAAGTGCACATGCATGCTTGGTCACTCAGTCGTGTCCGACACTTTGCAACCCCATGGGCTGTGGCCCGCCGCGCTCCTCCATCCCTGGGGTTTCCCAGGCAAGAGTACTGGAGTGGGCTGCCATTCCCTTCTCCAGGGGATCTTCCCGACCAGGGGCTGAACCCGAGTCTCCTGTGCTTCCAGCACTGGTAGGTGGAATTGTTACCACCAAGCCACCTGGGAAGCCCCTTTAATGGCACAGCACAGCACTAATTATAGCACAGTCTTGCACAGCAGAAACCAGAACTTATTCATCTTGCATAACTGAAACTTCCTACCGTTTGAAAGCAATGCCCCGCCCCCACCTCCCCTCGCCCCTGGTAACCAGTTACTCTCTGCTTCTATGAGTCTGACTATTATTCTACTTAGAGTCTTCATAGAAGCAGAATCCTACAGCATCTGTATGCAGGTCCCAGTAGGGAGTTCAACATGTATTTCTCCTGATGTCTGTGTCCTTTAAACAGCTCATGACATATGAAGGGAAACAAGTGACTACAGCTATTTCTAGACTTTGTCTTTAAGACGAGATATAACAACATAAGACTCTGTTTTTAGTACTTTTATCCTGATTTTACTGAAGAATGATAAACCTCCAGAGGCAAATAGTATTAAGTATTCTTAATAGTTTTAAGTATTCTATCAGCTAGCTTCTGATCCCAAGAATGTCCCAAAGGCTCTGTCCTCAGAGGACCTGGCTGCCTCACTGAGCCTGGGGTGGGATCGAGGTGGGGGGTTGTTAGGCAGGAAAACAAGAGATTCTGTAAGACCCCCTGGACTATAAAGAAGGCTGAGCACCAAAGAATTGATGCTTTCAAACTGGAGTGCTGGATATAACTTTTGAGAATTCCTTGGACAGCAAGGAGATCAAACCAGTCAATCCTAAAGTTGAAAGGACTGGTGCTGAAGTTGAAGCTCCAAGACTTTGACCACCTGATGCAAAGAGTCGACTTGTTGGAAAAGACCCTGATGCTGGGAAAGACTGAGGGTAAGAGGATAAGCTGGTTGGATGGCATCACTGACTCAATGGACATGAGTTTGAGCAAACTCCAGGAGACAGTGAAGGACAGGGAAGCCTGGTGTGCTGTGGTTCATGGGCCTGCAAAGGGCTAGATGTGACTTAGCAACTGAATAACAAGGTCCCCCCATTCTACTTTTATTTCTTAAATTCTTTAAAGTATCATGGCTTGTGCACCAGGCATGCAAGGCTTTGAGCTCACAGCTCTGGGTGTGTTTACTCTAGAATCCTCCTGTGTGCATACTGTCTGACCCAAAGCTCATGCTCTTGACTAGAGTCTCCACTGGTCCATGAGCTCCAGCCAGGCTCCCTGGGGGCAGTCTCCAAAAGCCTGGGATTGATGTGTTGTCTCCAGTGGGACCTACCAAGGCTGACCTCCTGGCGGGGCCAGACTAGGCCATCTTTTTGCCAACCTTGTGCCATTAAAAAAATTTTAATTCTGGAAAAGTACATATAACATAGGGGCTTTCCTGGTGGCTCAGTGTAAAGAATCCACCCGCCAGTGCAGGAGACCTGGGTTCGATCCCTGGGTGGGGAAGATCCCCTGGAGGAGGGCATGGAACCCACTCCAGTATTCTTGCCTGGAGAATACCATGGAGAGAGGAGTCTGGCGGGCTACAGCCCGTGGGGTCGCAAAGAGTCGGACATGACTGAGCGACTAAGCAACAACAACAAACACATAACATAAAATTTACCGTCTTGACCCTTTTTAAGCATGCAGTTCAGTAGTGTGAAGTCTATTCACATTGTTGGGCAACCATCACCACCATCTGTCTCTAGAACTTTTTTCATTTTTTTTCACAGTAAAACTGAAACTATCCCCATTAAACATGAATTCCCCATTTCCTCCCTCCCTCCCTCCAGACCCAGGCAACCTCTATTCTACATTCTGGTTCTGTGAACGTGAGTACTCTTAAGTGCTCAGATACGTGCAGTCGAGTAGTATTTGTCATTTTGTAAGTAGTTTATTTCCCTGATCGTAATGTCCTCAAGGTTCATCCCTATCATAGCATGTCTCAGAATTCCCTTCTTTTTTTAAGGCTGAGTAACATTCCATTCATATGTATATACCACATCTTTTTTTTTTTCGGGGCGGGGGAGGTTGGGCGAACTATGAGGCTTGCAGGAATCTTAGTTCCCTGACCAGGGATTGAACCCCAGGGCCATGGCAGTGAAAGTGCCAAGTCCCAACCACTGGACCACCAAGGAATTCCCACCACATTTTATTTATCCATTCATCTGTCAGTGGACATTCGGGGAGTTTCTACCTTTTGGCTATGGTGAATAATGCTACTATGAAGATGAGTGTACAAATGACCAAGGACCACTTTTAACTCCGATCTCTGTGTCTGTGGCTTTGTCCACTGTCCTACTCTTGGGTGTTACTGGGGGCAAGAAAGACTGACTTTCATCCACCGCTGTGGATGTGTACACACATACCTCTTCTATCTGTGATGGAATGCTTGGCGGGGAGTGAAACCAGTGTTTAACCAGGCCTCTGTATTTCAGAACCAGGAAGAGACAGGACCCTACCACCACCAACAACACCGAAAAGGTTGTCACGACGGCCAGGATGTCTTGTTGAAGCTTGACAGAGGCTAAAGAGACAACAGAAAAATGAACAAGATGACTCACACATGTTACAAACATCAGGTAATTTCTCATCCACCACTGCATAAATACAGCTGATGTCCTAGGAAAATGAATGGACACTGCCTCTCTCCCACCCAACACTGTGTGCTTTATTGAACTCTGGAGAGGCCCTGGGGCTGCAAGGAGATCCAACCAGTCCATCCTAAAGGAGATTAACCCTGAATATTCACTGGAAGGACTGATGCTGAGGCTGGAGCTCCAATATTTTGGCCACCTGATGTAAGAGCCGACTCACTGGAAAAGACCCTGATGCTGGGAAAGATTGAGGGCAGGAGAAGGGGGCGATAGAGGATAAGATGGTTGGAAGGCATCACTGACTCAACAGACATGAGTTTGAGCAGACTCCGGGAGACAGTGAAGGACAGGGAAGCCTGGCACGCTGCAGTCTCTGGGGTCACAAAGAGTCGGACACGACTAAGCAACTGAACAACAGCGACAACAAAGGCAATCCTAAAACAAAGCAGGCATTACCCATCTGGCAGTTCTTGTTCTGGAGATTCCATCACTGCCTCGTTATATCTACTGTGGCCTGCTGTCTTAGCCCATCCTCTCTGGGTCTCCCTACACTCACCACCCTTCACCAGATAAGCAATTCCTGATTGCACTATTTTAGGAGTGTTCTGTTCCCAGCTCAGAAAGCACTTAAAAAAGCGTACGTTACCATCTGCTGCTGTTTCAGAGCAAGATATGTTGCTTAACAGTCCAGGTCGAGAGATGTTTTCTTTGGTCAAACACAGTTCTGCCTTGACTTGAAAACAGTATACTCTTAAGGGTTTTAAATCATTCAGTGTGATGAAGTTGCTCCTGAAACAGCATGTCACCTGCGTAAAAAGCATCAACAACCACACATGAAAATTACCCACACAGGTGTGATCAAGCCCCTTCCATCTTCTCCAGTTTCCTCAAATTCATACTAAACACAGTAACCAAATAATAAGGCAATTCTGCTTTTAAAGAGACAGAATACGAATTTTATACATATAACGCTTACAGCCGACAAATTTCACATGTGAAAACTGGGGAGGAGTGTTGAGAAACATGCTGATGGCATTAGAGCTGTGTTTCTGGCTGTGAGATCTGAAGCCTCATTGCAGCAACGGAGGGTTCAGAGCTGCTGCTGCTGCTGCTGCTGCTGCTGCTGCTGCTAAGTCACTTCAGTCATGTCCGACTCTGTGAGACCCCATAGACGGCAGCCCACCAGGCTCCCCTGTCCCTGGGATTCTCCAGGCAAGAACACTGGAGTGGGTTGCCACTTCCTTCTCCAATGCATGGAAGTGTAAAGTGAAAGTGAAGTCGCTCAGTCGCGTCTGACTCTTCGCGACCCCATGGATTGCAGCCTACCAGGCTCCTCCATCCATGGGATTTTCCAGGCAAGAGGACTGGAGTGAGTTGCCATTGCCTTCTCCAGGGTCTAGAGCTGGAATTTAGCAAATCCCAGTTTCCAGGAAGAAATTTTATCCTTTGAAATGAGCATTGTATATTTCGTGGTTAGTCTCGTCTATAGCTTCAAGTCAGTCAATGAACAAAGGGGAAAAGGGCATTCTGGGAAATAATGTTCCTTGGGTTCCAAATCTGCTTCGTTGTGCTGATTCCCTTTATAGTTTTGGTGAACATGGTCCTAGAGGTTTATGTCATCAGGGAAGAGCTGGGCCCCAAATTCTTAAGAGGATCTTGTCCCCTCCCTCCCTCCCTGCCATTACCTCCCTCCAGTTTGTCACCTCCACATGTTTGGTCAGTGGTCCCTCTCTCATTCCGGACAAACTGTCACTATTCTATGGGGAAATGAGAAAAAGATGCCACACACTATGGCAATATGGGATCTCTTCTAAAAGACTGCTTTCCTGTTGGGAGATACAGTAGAAAACACTAGGGCTTCCCTGGTGGTGCTAGTGGTAAGGAACCTGCCTGCCAATGCAGGAGACGCAGGTTTGATCCCTGGGTCGGGAAGATCCCTAGAGGAGGAAATGGCAACCCACCCTGGTACTCTTGCCTGGGAAATCCCATGGACAGAGGAGCCTGCCAGGCTACAGTCCATGGGGTCACACAGAGTTGGACATGACTGAGCACAAACACAGAATACACTACAACCATTTGAAATGGTGGCATGCAACACATGCTTCAGAATGTGAAGATAAAGTGGCTTATTATATATGTTGACTGAAAAAAAGGCAGATCATTCAACAGTTTATAGGACATGATCTTATTTTTAAAAATATAAATGATCGTACTATATTTGAACAGTAGGATTACAGAGGATTCAAAACTTTTTCCCCTTCGGTTTAACGATGATGACTGCCAGGGCAGAGAAGAAACAACTTTTACTCATGACGCCTCCTAAAGCAATTTCAGAGAATTCCGTGGTAGTCCAGTGGTTTAGGACTTGGTGCTTTCACAGTCATGGCCTGGGTTCAATTCATGGTCGAGGAGCTAAGTTCCTGCAAGCTGTGTGGCACAACCAAAAATATTTTTAAAATAAAAAATAATTTTTTTAAAAAGGTAATTTTAAGGACAATATGCCTTCTTAAAAAAAAAAATCTATTTATCTGGCTGTGTTGGGTCTTAGCTTAAGCAGCACATGGGATCTTAGTTCCCTGACCTGGGATGGAGCCCAGGTTCCTTGCCTTGGAAGGCAGATTCTTAAGCACTGGACCGCCAGGGGAGTCCCAACACTATTCTTTTTTGAGTTTATTTCAGCAGCCAATTGACTTTTCCAGAAGAATCACAAACTACAGAGAAGAGCTACTGTTCAGGCCTGAGACTGCTGTCCTTAGAAAGGTCATGTTTGCAAGGCTGATCCAAGGCTGGCATCTGGGAACTCGGCTTTGAGGAGCGTCCCACCGATCCCTAATGATAAGGCTGTTTTAATGTATAAATGATGCTTCTGATGCTGAACACCTGCTCTCCCTCTGGGAGTCAGGAGCTCTGGTGTCTGGTGGGTCGAGGGTGCCTGTGTGACCAGCCCCCAGGACGAGCCCCGGGCACTGAGCCTCTCAGGAGCTTCTCCAGATGTGATTTCACATACTTGGCACGCGTGTTGTCGGGGGAATTGAGTGGAGCCTGTGTGACGAGGGGAAGACTCCCGGAAGCTTCTGCCTGGACTCTTTCAGACTCTGCCCCCTGTGTCTCTTCCCTTTGCTGACTCTGTTCTGCGTCTTTTCTCTGTAATAAGTCACAGCCTTAAGTACAACTGGATGCTGAGTCCCCGAGGATCCTTGGAGCAAATCTAGGGGTTGGCCTTGGGGACCACTGACACACGGACTCACAGCCGGTATAGAGACCGTATCAGTGGCTTTCAAAGTCACTTTAGCCACAGACTCTCTTGCTCGCGGAAGTCCAAAGCATAGATGCTCTGGTTGAAAGGGGAATCCCTCCTGGATTCTTCCAGACCTCCTCTGTTCCAGTTGACCAGACCTTTGAACTCAGATTTTGGGAAATGATTATTTCTTTCTTCCCTATTTGCTGACAGTCTGCCCTTCAGTGAATTTTGCCTTCCTCGGTGTTTTTACACTCACCATAAAGAAACAGGGGCTTCCCTGGTGGTTCAACTGGTAAGGAATCTGCCTGCAATGCAAGAGACCTGGGTTCAACCCTTGGGTTGGGAAGATCCCCTGGAGAAGGGAAAGGCTACCCACTCCAGGATCCTGGTCTGGAGAATTCCATGGACTGTATGGCCCATGGGGTCGCAAAGAGTCGGACGTGACTGAGTGACTTTCACTTTAACAAGAAAACAGAGCGAGTGCAAACATCAGCAGCTGGGAGAGAAACAGCAGAGCGAGCATGGGCCCGGGGCTGGGCACCGCCGCTCACCCTGGGCAGTGCTCACGCTTGCTTTCCCGCTTGTGAAACTGGTGGGTGGAAAGGCAAAACGAAACGATGCGTCCAAAGTGCCCAGCCCGGGGCCAGACACAAAGAAAGCTCCAGATAACCATACCATTCTTAAAATTCTTAGAAATATTAGAGTAATGTTGAACTTAGGAAATCAGGAAGTTCACACACATAGTGAAACATCATTAAATGTAGATTGAAGGGACTTCCCTGGCAGTCTAGTGGTTATGACTCTGGGCTTCCACGGCAAGGGGCACAGGTTCGATCCTGGCTGGGAAACTAAACCCCACCCTCACCCCCGCTCTTGTCACACAGCGCGGCCAAAAAATAGGGGGAAATGTAGGTTGGATGATCAGACACTGGAGATGACTAAAGGCTATCAGTTTTTTCTTGTGCTACACTCAGGGCTGACCAGGCCCCTTTGCTCTGACCCCTCCTTTCTCAACCCTACCCTGCCCGAGGCCCTCACGTGGCCCCATTTCTTTTTTTATTTAAATTATTTAATTTAGTTTTATTTTGACTGTGCTGGGTCTTTGCTGTGGCGCACGGGCTTGATTGCCCCACGGCATGTGGGAATCTTAGCTCCCCGAGCAGGGATTGACCCCGTGTCCCCTGCATTGGAAGGTGGATTCATAACCACTGGACCACCAGGGGAGTCCCAGGCCCGCATTCCTGATGGATCCTGGCATGTGCAGTTCCCCAACATGTCCAGCCTTCTCCAACCTACTGGCCCTTCTCCTTGGAACACGCCCTCTTCTCGCCTTCACTGAGAATTCTCACCTATTCGCATCACCTTCTTTGAAAACTATTCAGATCAGAGATGTCACATAGCTTAACCTTGCAGACTGAGGGAGTAAAAATTCCTTGCTGTAGAAATAGGCCCACAGGACCTCCCCAAACGCTGGAGTGTGGCAAAGACTCCCTGGGCACTGGCTGAATCCAGACCCAGACCGCGGGGACTGTGTGATATGAGGCAGAGAGGGCCTCTCTGGGTCTTGGCCTCTAAGGGTGCACTGGGATACCCTGGTGTCCTTGGCCATTTTATTTTCCTTTTGGCTGAGCAGAGCAGCTGTGGGATCTTAGTTCCTTGACCATGGGTTGAACGCACCAACTGCAATGCGAGCTCAGAGTCTCAAGCACTGGACTGCCAGGGAAGTCCCCTCCTTGGCCTTTCGTTTGCTACTCAGAAATTCCAAAGAAAAGAACATCAAAAACAAAGAAGAACATGCTCTTGCCTGTTTGCCTCCTGCCTTCTCCCAGTAGTAGACATGATACACAAAAGAGGCCTCGGAGGCAGGGACATCGAAGGGAGCAGAAAGCTTGATGATAAGGGAACCTTCTTTTGGGGTCACCCGGATGTTTTCTGGAGGCCCGATGGTAGCTGAAATAGAATTACAAACGAGATCCATCAATCTATGTAGATACATGTGTGTACAGATACGTGTATATACATACTGTGCAGTGCCGAGTTGCTTCAGTCGTGTCCGACTCTTTGCGACCCCCATGGACTGTAGGACTGTAGTCCACCAGTCTCCCTGGTCCATGGGATTCTCCAGGCAAGACTGCTGCAGTGGGTTGCTATTTCCTCCTCCAGGGGATCTTCCCAACCAGGGAATGAACCTGTGTCTCTTTCGTCTCTTGCACTGGCAGGTGGATTCTTTACCAGAGGTCTTTCTGCCATATGCTATGCTAATAACATGTTTTATATGCCAGTTTTACCAGGTTTCCAGCGAGCTGGAAAGTTAACCAAAGGTCAAATTTTCATGAAGACAGGGAAAAGATTTTGTTAGCTCTTACCTTCTATATATCTTTTCTTTTTGTTACATATTTTCTATATAAATAAAACTGGTGTTTACAAACTTTAAATACATTTCTCCTTTAGCTTTTTCCAACAGGACACTTAAACATAGTAACTGAGAAACACTGCTATCATAAGGCTCCCCTAGTGACTCAGGGGTAAAGGGCCTGCCTGCAATGCAGGAGGCTTGTAGGAGATGTGGCTTCGATCCGTGTGGTCAGGAAGATCCCCTGGAGAAGGAAGTGGCAACCCACTCCAGCCTGGAAAAACCCACGGACAGAGGAGCCTGGCAGGCTACCGTTCAGGGGATTGAGGACTGAGTGACTAAACAATAACAACACTGTCATAAATCTATTTGTTAAGACTTTCCATGTACTGGAATACACTTCACTGGAGAGCCAAGTATTGTGATTCTGGTACACTAGAGAAGAAAGACTATAGCATTTATTAAGTAAGCATCTAAACTCTATAATTAACCAGAGGAACTCAGATCAAAGAACAGCTCGTGTGCTCAGGTTCTTAGGGGCCTGTTTCTGCACATTTGACACACGCACGCAGATGATCATATCACTGGGAACAGTCACCTGTTCACGGGACGGGGGCTGGCTTTCTCTCTTGCTTCCACGCCCCCCCAGGCTCTCCTGGGTTGGGGAGGGTTAGGCATGTGTCTGGCCACCTTTCTCTCCAGGTAAAAGTGACTGGTCCCCGCAGGGCCTGCGCTCCTGCCCTCTCTCCGCCTTTGTTCTGTTGGAGGAAGTAAGTCCAGACAGGTACACTGTTGGGCGGGGCCCGTCTCAGGCCCCAGCGTTGTTAGCAGACTGGCCAGGAGGAACAGAAAAAGCTCTCATCACACCCGCTCACAGACGCTGGCACGCACATCTTCAAGCTGCCCTTTAGACGGCGAAGTCTCCAGAGCACCGGTCAGCCTGCCTGTGTGCAGGGCCAGGCCCCCCAACACTGAACATTTTCTGTGACTCACCCGAGGGAGTGGGTGTGTGTGCCCGGATGACTACATCCCTTCACAACTGAAAGGTCAGCACCCAGGAATCTGATACCAACATGATGAGTCTGTCTCTCCAGAGCAGACAGCCTGCCTTCTCTCCGGGCACAGAAACACCTGATAGATCTGTGCGGTCACTACCGACAGCGGCGTCCACAGCCTGAGCGATCGCTCTAAAGCTGGCAACATGAATTTTACATGTGTGTCCACACGGATCTGCATGTAACAACCGTGGAAGGCCATCCCCATTTTTTAGAGGGGGCAACTGAAGCCCAGAGGGATACCACTTGCCTAGAGTTAACAGCCAGTTAGGGGGCAGCGTTGAGGTTTGAACCCAGGATTACGTGATGCTAAAGCCTGCCCCCTTCAGCCAGCGTCCCAACTCCTCTCCCCTTGAGCCTTCAGAAAAGCATCGTAGCACTGTTTACCCATCATGACTCAACCACAAGTGCCGAAAGCAGCAGTGGGCTCTGCCAACACGACTGGCTCGAAGTGACACTCTGCCGGTAACGTAACCAATGACAGGGCCACCCGACTCCAGCCGGGAAGACAAAGAGCAGCAGCTGGCTGGCAGGGGACTGGTGACATCACGGCAGGTCCTGCTTCTGTCGCCACCATCACTGTGTGCCCTACTAATCCCACTGAGGTGAGGCTTCACAGCTCACATGTCTGGCGGTGCTCCATTCAAGCACAAAGGACTGGTCCACAGTAGATGACCAGCTGGCAGGGACCACACTGCCTTCTCGTCCCATCCTCAAACCGCTAGCAAAAACCACTGATTTTTTTTTTTCCCCTTAGCTTCTTATTACAGGAAATTTCAAACACACAGCAAGTAGAGAAGACTGGAGCCAAAGGTCACGTACTCGTCACCCAAGTTTACATCAACTGTTGAGGCCCGGCCAGTTTTGTTTCTCCTTCACCTTGTGAGGACCACCTTGACCCTCCCACTCTCCGGATGGTTTGGAACAAATCTCAGACATTACATCTCTGCATCTATAAGGTATGTATTTTGAAAAGACCAGACCCTTCCCTTGAAAAAAATAAACAAAACACCATTATAACACCTACAGTATGTGAACAACAATTGCTTAGTAAGTCATCAAATATCTAGACGGTGATCACATTTCCTCAACTGTCTTATACTTCTGTTGAGCTTGAGTAAAGATCCCAAGGAGTTCCATACTTTGCATCTATGTAGACGCAGGAGAATCATAGCTGACCATGTAAAAAATGAATCACTAAACCTGATGCTAAGAGCCGACTCTTTGGAAAAGACCCCGATGCTGGAAAGATTGAGGGCAGGAGGAGAAGGGGACACCAGAGGATGAGGTGGTTGGACGGCATCACGGACTCAATAGAGATGAGTTTGAGCAAGCTCCAGGAGATGGTGAAGGAGAGGGAAGCCTGGTGGGTTGTGGCTTATGGGGTTGCAGGGAGTCGGACACGACTTAGTGACTGAACAACAACAAAAGGAACAAATCTATGAACTAGTGTTTGATGACTCCGATGCCCCCTTCCAATATCCGGGAGCACTGTTCATTCAATCATTCCACGGATATTTTCTGCTATGTGACATGTACCAGTCAAGGCTGAACTAAGATCTTTCCTGAGCAGAGAAGAAGCTGTGCCAGGGGATGGTGACCAGTGAAGCCAATATACTATTAAATAGTATCCCACTCAGCAGAGAGGTTGGCCAACTTTCTCAGTCAAGCGCCAGGGCGGATTTAGGCTCTTGACAGGTCAGACAGCCCCCAGCGAAACTGCTCAGCTGGCCTGTTGCAGCACGGAAGCAGCAATAGACAATACATGAGTAGATGGGGAAACTGTGTTCCGATAAAAGTTTTAAAATTGGCGAACGGTTGGTTTACAATACTGTGTTAGATCCAACTCTGTGTGACCCTATGGACCGTAGTCCGCCAGGTTCCTCTGTCCATGGGATTCTCCAAGTGAGAACACTGGAGTGGGTTGCCATGCCCTCCTCCAGGGGATCTTCCCAACTCAGGGATCAAACCTGTGTCTCTTTCGTCTCCTGCAGTATCAGGTGGGTTCTTTACCACTAGCACCACCTGGGAAGCCCGTATATATATTCTTTTTCAGATTCTTTTCCACTATAGGTTATTTTAAGTCCCCTCTGCTTCAGAGCAGGTCCTTGCTGTTTATCTATTTTATATATAGTAGTATGTATCTGTTAATCCCACAATCCTAATTTATCTCTCCCCCTTTTCTACTTTGGTAACCTTAAATTTGTTTTCAATGTCTGTGAATCTGGGTTCATTTGTATTATAGATTTAAATTCCCCATGTAAGTAATATCATATAATATCTATCTTCTGCTGTCTGGCTTACTTCATTTAGTGTGATAATCTCTAGGTCTACTCACATTGCTGCAAATGGCATTATTCCAATCTTTTTTAAGGCTGAGTAATATTCAATTATGCATGCATATACACATACACCACAGTTCTGATAAAACTTTATTTACAAAAACAGGTCGATGGCCGGATTTGACCTGCAGGCTGTGGTTTGGCGACTCCCTAGTGTAGCAAATCACCCTCCCCTAGCCCCAGCCTCTGTGGACAGTACTCTGGTTTGACCATCACACCCATCTGGGTGCTTGTTATTTAGGCTGAGAGGTAGGACTTAGGGGTATGGAATTAGTACCACTTAGCAAAGAGCAAAGTGCAAACGTTAAAGGAATTTGTACCCAAGTCCCCTTACCATTCCGATAGTGTTCAAACCAAGGTGCTGTTGCCCAGGCAGAAACGAGGCCCCCCAGCTTAGCTCGAACACGTAAAGAGATGTTGAAGCGCCATGGGAATCCCTCCGAGAGGCTGTTTGCGGTGAAGTCACACTCTGTCCTGGTGAGGTTCGTACAATCCACCTTGCTATCCTCTTTGTTGACGTCATACCAGTTACTACTGGTGCTGCTGCAAATGGAAAAAAGGATTTCACTTAGTAGAAATCTCTCTTTGATCATATATCACAGTTCCCCCAGGGTTGAGTTTTTAAAATGATTTTTTCATTGAGATATTCCTCACATACCACACACTGCACTCACTTAAGGGGACAGTTCAATGGTTTTCCGTATGCACACAGGGTGGTGCAACCCTCACCACACCCATTTTAGAATATTTTCATCATCCCCTAAACAACCCCATGCTTAGAGCATCACTCTCGATTTCCCCCAACCCCTAAGCCCCAGGCTACCACCAATCTATTTCCTATCTCTAAGGATTTGCCCGTTCTGGACATTTCATAGAAATGGGATCACAAACTATATGGTCTTTTGTGATTAGTGCCTTTCGCTTAGCCTGTTTTACTTAGTATGTTTTCATGTGTGATGCATGTTGGAGCATGTATCAGTACTTCATCCCCTCTTACGGCCAAATTAACGTCGCACTGTGTACACATTCCACACTTGGTTTATCCATTCATGTGCTGACGGACATGTGAGCTGTCTTTTGGCTATTTGTCTTTTGGCTTGTTCACTTTTTGGCTACTGTGAATAATGCTAAGAATATTCACGTATAGATTTCTGTGTGAAATTATGTTTCCAGTTCTCTGGGGTGTAAACCCAGAAATGAACTTACCGGGTCACATGGTTACTCTCTTTTTAACTGCTTTGCAAAGCAGCTGCATCATCTCATGTTCCCGGCCACAATGTGTGAGGGTTCCAATTTCTCCATATCCTCACCAAGGCTTGTTATTATGACTTTTTTATTGAAGCCATTCAAGTGTCTGTATTTTCTCTGGTGACTAATGATGCTGGGTATCTTTTCATGTACTTACTGGCTATTTGCATATCTGCTGGAAAACTGTCTACTCAAATCTTGTGTCTCTAATTTGGTTATTTGCCTTTTGATTACTGAGTTGTAAGAGTTTTTTTAATAGGATATATTCTGGATACAAGTCCCTCATTAGATAAATGGTTTGCAAATATTTCCTCACATTTCGTCCCACAGCCAACATTAATGCTTCAAACAGCCCCTGAGCCTGTGTCTTAGGAATGATACTGTGTTCACGCAGTCACACCCCAGCTTCCTGCTGGTGTAGAGCTTTGTTTTCATCCCATAGCTGCCCGTTTAAAAAGAGTCATGCACTTCCCTGGTGGTGCAGTGGATAGGAATCTGCCTGCCAATGCAGGGGACAAGGGTTCGATCCCTGGTCTGGGGAGATTCCACATGCTGCAGAGCGACTAAGCCTGTATGTGCCGTAGGATACTGCGCTCTGGAGCCCGCCAGCCTCAACTTCCGCGCCCATGTGCTGCGCCTACTGAACTCTGCAAGCCTACAGCCCGCTGTCTCCAACAAGATAAGCCAGCGCAATGAGAAGCCCACACGATGCAACGAGGAGCAGCCCGCCGATCGGTGCAACTGGAGAAAGCCTGCACAGCAGCGAAGACCCAGTGCAACCAGAGAGGAATAAATAAGGAAGCCTCGCTGCCTATGAGGCCATGCGTGCTTGTAAGTGAGAATGCACCCCCTGAATTCCGATGCCACGTGTCCACACGGAGTTCTGGTAATAATCCCCGACCCTGAGCTCTGTCCTTAGGTGACAGACTTGAGAAAGGCAGAGAGGGGACTCCAGAAACCTCAGTGGGGGCAACAGGCAGTGTCCCCCCTAGACACAGGCTGTGCCCTGGGCAGCAACTCTGGCCTGGAAAGCAGGGCCGGGGAGACAGAAGAGATGAGGCTGGGGTCACAGCCCCGGGTCTCCCCACCACGTGGGCTTCTAAGGGTCTCTCTGACCCAGTCTGGAGACTCAGCTCCTGCTAAAGAGGCAGGTAACCCGATGAAAGCAATATCAATACGTGTGCCCAAGGCTTCCACGGAAGACGCCCACCAGGCTCACACACCACCATACCCTGGAGTCCTGGGACCTAACTGGGAAGGTGATCACAAACCACAGCATCCCCTCTCAGACTGGGGGATGTGCTACAGAAGCGGGTGAGTGTTTTTTTTTTAAAGTTACACAGATACCTGAAGGTACTCTCACCTTCTCCTTGCCAATTCCAGTTGTTGAACTAGGGCAAAAGGCCCCCTCTGGGATTAGCCAGGGAACTGACCTACCATGTTCCACCTCTTCCCCTCTCCTCCAAACTTGTCCCTTTTGGATTTATCCCAGGGATGCGAGGATTTTTTCCAATATCCGCAAATTAATCAGTGTGATATGCCACATCAACAAACTGAAGAACAAGACCAGGTCAACAGGCTTATTAGAAGAATGAACTAAGGTATCTACCAGGATTATTTTTGTAATCTGGTCTGTTAATAAACAATTGAAACAAATTGAGAAAAAAAAAAAAAACTGAAGAACAAAAACCATACCATCATCTCAATAGATGCAGAAAAAGTTTTTGACAAAATTTAACACCTATTTATGATTAAAAAAACTTTCCAGAAAGTGGGCATAGAGGGAACATATGGCAACACAATAAAGGCCATTTATGACAAACCTACAGCTGACATCATATTCAGTGGTGAAAAGCTGAAAGCATGTCCTCTAAGATCAGGGACAAGACAAGGATGTCCACTCTCGCCACTTTTTAAACACAGTTGTGGAAGTCCTAGCTACAGAAATCAGAGAAGAAAAAGAAATAAAAGGAATCCAAATTGGAAAAGAAGAGGTTAAACTGTCACTGTTTGCAGATGACATGATATCACACACAGAAAATCCTAAAAATGCTACCAGAAAACTATTAGAACTCATCAATGAACTTGGTAAAGTTGCAGATTACAAAATTAATGCAAAGAAATCTGGCATTTCTGTATATTCAGAACTACTTTTTAAAAGCGTTTCTTAAGAAGGGGGTTTAAAACAGCACAAACTATCCAAATTTAAATGACAGCTGACACTGTTTGGCTCCCCATCTATTTCCAAAGGGTAAAAATAAATTGCTGTGGGCCCCACAAATTATCCATATTAAATGGATAATGCAATGAACACAGCCTCATGGCATGACACCGCCCAGGCCTGGAGCCCCAGTCTCTTGCCCAAGCCTATGATGAATCAGCCAGTCTGAGCATTACCCAGCAAGCGGTCCTGGCTCCCGGCAATGTGTTCATATGGACAGCCTCTGTCCCCGAATTTGTCTAATTTTGAAAGCAACCTCAATCATGAGGGGGAGCACAGCCTCGTGATTAAACACATGAACTCTAGAGCCAGATTACCCAGGTTCAAACCCAGTTACTTCACTTCTCTGTTCCTCAGTCTCCTTATCTATAAGATGGGGATGAGCTATTGCATCTGATTCTTAGGGTTGTCTTGAAGGTTGATCTGGTGGACAAGAGGAAAATGCCTGGACCAGGGCCTGGGATTTCTAGTCAGTTCAGTTCAGCTGCTCAGTCGTGTCTGACTCTTTGCAACCCCATGGACTGCAGCACACCAGGCTTCCCTGAACATCAGCAACTCCTGGAGCTTACTCAAACTCATGGAATCGGTGATGCCATCCAACCATCTCATCCTCTGTCGTCCCCTTCTCCTCCTGCCTTCAATCTTTCCCAGCATCAGGGTCTTTTCAAATGAAAATGTAGGGGTGCCTACTAAGCACCACCTAAAAATATTTATTAAGCACCTGAGCAACCAATGATTTCCCTGCTCACCTTCTGTTACATCATATCCATTAAGTGAGTCTGTCCCCTGTGAACCCAGCAACTCTTCTTCCAGAAAGGGATGAAAACAATCATCAATGATTTCAATTTGAGGACATCACTTTTAATGGTCACAAACTGTCAACTACACCACTCATGAGTGGGGAGAAGTTAAAAAAAAATCATGAGTGATACATCATATAACAAAACAGAATAAAAATGTTCACACTGAAATAACTGTATGAAAAAAATGTTCACAAGCTTAACTACATTAAGTTAAAAGGGGAAAAAAAAAACAAGGAAGCAGGACCCAGACGCGTGACTCCAGTCTTGTTTCAGTCTCACGCAGATGCTGGCATATTTGCAAACAAGTCCATGTATTTAGAAAAAATGTCTAGAGAGAAATACACTAAAATGAGAATAGTGATTTGTCTTGGCCCCCAGGTTGCTTTAATTTTGTACTTTTTACTTTTCTGGGTTTTCCAGATGTTCTATAAAGAAGGTGCTTTGCTATTAAAATTAGGAAAAAGTGGAGTTAAGAAAAAAAGGGTTGGGAAGACTGGGGTGGGCAGGCCCTGGCGTGGCAAGAGGCCAGGTGGGGTGTGACCTAGAAAGGGCCCGGCTCTCTGCCTGCCTTTGTTTTCAAGAAAAAACAGAAATTCAGTTGTTGTTTTTTTAAGTGAAATCTCCAGATCTGTAAATGTTATCACTAATTAGGAAAAAAAAAAACAAAACCACAACAACAAAACAACAAAAAACCATTGTGGGCCAAACACAGACTCTAGGCCAGAGGATCTGCCACTTTGGATTTGAACTTAAAATTTTCCCACAATGTGTTCTATGTAATTTTGGCTTTGCTGGCATGACTGTCAAAAAAGAGGCATGTTTATTTAAAGTTATAGCAATGTTTCCCGGAGAGAAACAGAATGAAAAGTTTAAAGTTCCATGAGCCTCAGAATTAAATTACTTCCTGTAACTAAAAGGTCCTAATCGTGTGAAAGTATCTAAAAACAGACCAGCAAAAAAAATCAAAGGCCCTCTTCCACAACCAAGTCTGTAATTTGAAAAGAAAACATGAAAATTAGCCTCTGTTTGAGTTTTCATGACCCTTCAGCTTTTCCGAAGAGGGGTGATGTGTGCGTGTGTGTGCATGCTAAGTAGCTCAGTCATGTCTGACTCTTTGTGACCCCATGGACTGCAGCCCACCAGGCTCCTCTGTCCATGGGATTCTCCAGAAAAGAATACTGGAGTGGGTTACCATTTCCTCCTCTAGGGGATCTTCCTGACCCAGGGATCAAAGCCAAATCTCTTGTTTCCTGCATTGGCGGGCGGGTTCTTTACCACTGGAGCCCTAAAGAGGGATATTCACATTCAACTCTGTTTCCTGCCGGAGCCGTTGTGGGAGATCCCACCCATGACGAGGTCATGAGGAGAAGACCTGACATGTAAGGCCGTTCAGGACACAAGGGACCCTCCAGGTTGGCCTCGGCCTCTACCCCACCCTGTATCCTCCCCCCTCTTCTGCTGTTGTTCTTGTTCGCCCTGCTGCAGATTCTTGTGTTGCCTGCCGAGAGCGCTCCTGCTCCTCTTTCACCAAATAAAGACCAACTTAAAACCCTAATTAAGAAATCTCCTGGACGCTGGTACCCTATGAAGGGGCCAGGGATGAAGGAAATGCTTCCATTCAAACCCTTTTCCTGGCATTCTGGCTTGTTTGATAAATATGTGCTCCCATTGCAAAAAATGCTCATGATTGTTCTAAACATCCTAAGCACAGTACGCTAACAAAAGAAACTATTAAGCATAGGTCCCTCTGCGGGGTGAGAAAGTCTCCACAAATATGCCTAATAGAAAATACTTTAGATAGAGATTAGCTGGTGACTTCTTGCAGGTAATTAACTTTTAGACTAAGAGGCTGTTTTGTGCCATATCTGCTGTTTTTGCAATCCTTTGCATTTCTGTTCTGTAAAAAATGTAATCCTATCTAGTTCCCATGGAGATGACACCTAATAGAAAGAAAATAGATTAACCACAAAAAAGACAGGGTTGGCTACTGAAGTTGCTTAAAGTTGCACCAGGTGCAAGCCATACATTGTCAACAGGCCTGATAGCCAGAAGATATTATACACAGAGATTAACCATAAAAAAGGCCCTAATAGGCACAGAGCCCTTCGGGGGTGAGGAAGCCCTATTAGAGAACACAAAAAATATTGTTTTAAAAGTCGTTATTGGATCAACATTTGATTACTGTTAATGTGCTGAGGTCATGCAGTGGAAACTATTGTTAATATAGTTAAAGATTTAGAAAAATAAGAGTTTAGCCCTAGTGTAAAAACAATAAGATAATTGTTAATTTTAACCAGGAGCGCTAAACAGGGGCTGCCTCACCAGAGCTGCAGAGTCTTCGTGTGCTAAACTTTTTAGATAAATTTAGCTGAGAATTTCTGCAGAAAGACTGACTTTTATGTTAACAGGATTGTATTTCTACTATGTTACAACCTGCTGTATCATGAGACCGCCACTTTTCTGTTTTCTGCTGAGCTCAAGGCCAGAAGATAATGTACAAAAAATCTATGGGAAAAGACTCTCATAAACAAAAATATACAGAGCACACCTGGTTTCGTGACGGACGAGCTGATGTAACGTTAAACTAAGTCTGTGTGCTTATCTGCCCCTTAGAAGTGTACCAACGTAGGGTATAAAGGCGACGGTGAAAGATAAAGCACTGCCAGACCCTGCTGCACACCCCGGCCTGGTCTCTCCCTCTCTCGCCGACGCCGTTCATCCTGAGGGTTCCTCTGGATCCTGCTGGGGCTGGACCCCGGCAGTTTCCTTTACCAAAACCAACCTCTAACCTGAAAAGATATCTTACAGAACACTTTCCCAATAGAAAACAGAGTGGAACAGGTTAGTCTGTGATGTGAGACTGTCAAAGGCTTTAACAAATCCTTCTAGTGTCTAGAGGCACTCTGTCAACTCATAAATGTACTTCCTCAATCAAGGCTAACAAACGCTAGTCAGTAGATCAGTTGGGACTTCCTCCTACTGAAGTCTTCGGGCCGCGCTGTAGGAGACTGTGTTTACTGAAGGTCAAGCAGGGCCAGCTTTAGGCATGTGACCTGTGCAGTGGCACGAAGCTGTACTCCTAAGAGGGCTCCTGACTTGAAGCTCTGCGGCTGCCATCCTGAATTCCCAAAAGTTTTTGAACCAGGAGCTCCACGTTTTCATTTGGTACTGGGCACAAAATGATGTAGCTGGTCCTCATGGACGGGTCTGTTTATTACAGATGATCATGTTTGAAAGGAGAAGGCAATGGCACCCCACTCCAGTACTCTTGCCTGGAAAATCCCATGGACGGAGGAGCCTGGTAGGCTGCAGTCCATGGGGTCGCTAAGAGTCGGACACTACTGAGCGACTTCACTTTCACTTTTCACTTTCATGCATTAGAGAAGGAAATGGCAACCCACTCCAGTGTTCTTGCCTGGAGAATCCCAGGGATTGGGGAGCCTGGTGGGCTGCCGTCTATGGGGTTGCACAGAGTCAGACACAAGTGAAGTGACTTAGCAGCAGCAGCAGCATGTTTGAGATTTACAATCTCTTAAGAAGTAGAAAGGGATTTCTCTGGTGGTTCAGTGGTTGAGACTTTGCCTTCCAATGCAGGGGAGGTTGGTTCAATCCCCAGTCTTCGAGCTAAGATCCCTAATGTCTTGATGCCAAAAAACCAAAATGTAAAACAGAAGCAATATTACAACAAATTTAATAAAGATTTTAGAATACTAAAACCACCTTAAAAATCTCTCTTAAAAAAAAAATAGAAATATAGAAATAGATAAATGCAATCCAGAGACAGGCCTCAAATCTCAGTTCAGAATTCATTTTTATAATGTGCTCAGTCATGTCCGAACTTTTGTGGTCCCATGGACAGTAGCCTGCCAGGCTTCTCTGGCCATGGAATTTTCCAACAAGAATATTGGAGCTGGGTGCCATTTTCTACTCCAGGGATCTTCTCAACCCAGGGTATCTTGCCTCCCCTGTTCTGGTAGGCAGATTGTTTACCACTAGTGACACCTGGGAAGGCCATCAGTTTTTTAAGCAAATATTGTTACACTGAACAGTTAAAGATGAAAAAGAAGTCATCTGGAAAACTCCTCCTCTAACAAATTAACCACTTGTAATTTCTCCACATTCCCTACCTGTTCTGACCATAGATTCATTCCAAATTGGATACAGTTGCACCCACTGTCATATGATACATAATTACCCTTTTCAGTGGTCGCCTAAGAGATCATTCACAAGTTAACCTGACACAGTTTGCCAACTTCTAGCCAATGGACATGAATAGACACTTCAATGTACATCTTTCTGAATATAAGTTTGTTTGGTTTCTTTTTTTCTGATATAGGAGGTTGTATTGTCTGCCTAGGATAAAAAAGTAGTATGGATATTCCCACGATTCTAAATGAAGAGTAGAATTGACTTTTCAAGAGGGCTATGCTCATAACTGAGTCTGACTCAGCATGTGTCCACCAGCCACATTCTTACCAGCACTAGGCATTCCCTCTCTTAAAACTGTTATTTACTTAGTAATCTAAAAATGACTTAGCCAACAATTTGTTTGTTTGTTTTGACTGCACCTCAGGGCATGTGGATCTCAGTTCCCTGACCAGGGATCAAATCTCTGCCCCAAGTATTTAGAAGCATGGAGTCCTAAACACTTGACCACAAAGGGAGTCTCACAATAATTTTAACTTGGTCTTCACTTAATGCATCTACCAAGGTAAACAAGGACTTGGATTTTGCCTTTCTCCTTCCTCTGTGGGTCTATACTGTAAATCAAGTGATAGCCAACTGTAGGAAGGCTTGAACAAGAGGTGAGAAACAGAATGAGGGGCCAGAATAAAATGCAAAATGGAACACCAGCTTAGAAACTGGGAATTAATTGTTCATTAAATGAATAGCTTTCTTATTAAGCCAAATTTGGCCCAGAATGCTGAAGCCTGAAGACCAAAAGATGCCTCTGGCCCTTTCCAGACTGGAGGCCCTTTCATACAATCTCCACCTTAAACTGATGAATCAACTTCCACACAACTAAGCTGCCCTGCGGTTAGACAGCTGAGCTCCCTGAGGGTCAATGTCCTTTCAGCCTGTGGATGAGCAGAGGGGTTGGAGGGGAAGTTGTGAAATCTCTATCCTTGGAGATTTAAGAAGTACAAGAGAGGGACTTCCCTGGTGATCCAGTGGTTAAGATTCTGGGCTTCCAATGCAGAGGGTGTGGGTTTAATCCCTGGGCAGGGAACTAAGATCTCACATGCTGCACAGGGTGTGGCCAAAAAATAAAAAGTCCAAGAGGACTACCTGCTTCCGATGACTTTGCTTACAGTCCTGCCAAGGAGCAAGAACAGGCAGCTGGCCTCAGGTTCCGTAACAACCCCGCTCCCAGCTCCCAGCTCCCAGGAAGAAGGCCAACAGAAACATCGCTTACTATTTATACTGCACCTGGTAGACCACGGGCCTCGGGTCGCTGTCCAGGGACACCGGCTCCCAGCTCAGCGCCTGCTGGGCATTGTACAGGTGAACCTTCAGGTTTCGAGGAGCAGGCAGCGGGGCCAGGGAGTCTTGAAAGGGACCGAGAATAAGAGAAGGGGGAGATGAGGGAGAGACAGGGAGGGTCAAGGGGAGAAAAGTTGATTACAAAAATATGTCATTCATATGGCTGGGGTCTTGATATTACCCATTCTCCCCGCACGTCCCCTATGCCTTTAGCCTTTGACTAAAGACAGCCCTTCACCCCAGAAATGGCACATGGGGGTTCCCTTTGCTCTCTTCCCTGGAGATTGCATGAAGGGTTCCCTCAACTCTCTAATCTTGGTTTAACTATTTGTTAATCCCATAATTGATGCTTTTGAACTGTGGTGTTAGAGAAGACTCTTGAGGATCCCTTAGGCTGCAAGGAGATCCAACCAGTCAATCCTAAAGGAAATCACCTCTAAATATTCATTGGAAGGACTGATGCTGAAGCTGAAGCTCCAATACTTTGGCCACCTGATGCAAAGAGCTGACTCATTGGAAAAGACCATGATGCTGGGAAAGACTGAAGGCAGGAGGAGAAGGGGACGGCAGAGGATGAGATGGTTGGATGGCATCACTGACCTGATGGACATGAGTTTGAGCAAACTCTGGGGGACAGTAAAGGACAGGCAAGTCTGGCACGCTGCACTCCATGGGGTTGCAGAGAGTCGGACACGACTGAGCGACTGAACAACAAAACACGGCACAGTTGGCACAGTCTGTGGGAAAAAGGGGCTTGGGGCTGCCTCTCCACCTGCAGGTTCCAGGTCCATATGAGCAGGTCCTGGGTGAGGCTGAACGAGAACGCCTGTCTACCTTTAGTAGTAGTAGTGTTAGTCACTCAGTTGTGTCCGACTCTTCGTGACCCCGGGGACTGTAGCCCTCCAGGCTCCTCCGTCCATGGGATTCTCCAGGCAAGAATACTGGAGTGGGTTGCCATGCCCTTCTCCAGAGGATCTTTCCAACCCAGGGATTGAACCCGGGTCTCCAGCACTGCAGGCAGATTCTTTACCATCTGAGCTACAGGGAAGTAGAGGTTGGTATGGTCTCCCAGGGGAGTTGGTAGGTGGCAGGGGGAGAGGAAGGAGAAAGGCTTCCCTGACCAGGAATTGAACCTGGGTCACAGCGGTGAGACTGCCTGTAGTAAGTGGGGGTAACATAAGAGCTTGGACCTCGGTTTCTTCTTCAGGAATAGGGAATAAACCATAGTACACTGGAGAAGGTTCTGGGGAAGATTAACTTGATGGCTACTGGACAAGCATGAGACCCCGACTTTGATATAAGGACTATTTGGGAAACCTCCACAAATGTGTACACACACACACACACACACACACATCCCAAACCAGGTGTGCAATTCCCAAAGACACCTGGGAGGGTGAGGACTTGTCTTCTGGGCTTCATGTGTTTCTCAAACACTTCCCCAATGTCATAATCACTGAGGCCAAAATACAGATTCCCATGCCCCACCCCAGACCAGGAACTCTGCATCTTCAACAAGCTTCCCAGCTAATTCGCAAGCACATTGAGATGTCTGAGGACCACAAATGACAGAAGAACACATTCTGCAGGGAACCACTGCCAATATTAGAATCCCCCCTCCTTGGGATGACCTGTGATTTACAGGACGGGCCTAGATGCCACCAGGGAAGACTTTTCTCTCGTGAGGAAACACGGTGATGATAAGACTTTCTCTGAGACTAAACGATTGAGAAACACCCAGAACCAGAAAGTCTGAAAAACAGGCTGTTCCAGAGTTCCAAGCAGGAAATTCAAACCACTCATGTTCGGTAAATGCATCCAGTCTTAAAGAAGGATGCCCAGAGCAGCAGAAAGCCTGGCCTGCCGTACTTCTGCAGAAAGAAGTTGTGGCCTGGAGTCTGTGGCCACTTGTTTACTCACAGAATGCCCATCACTTTCACAGCTAAGCATGGGGCTGACCTTCCTTCCAGATCTTAATTCAACCAGCTACCTTGACACTCCAGCCAACTCATGCCAGGCCTGATGGAAGCCGGCCCAAAGGCACAGCATGGCGGGAGGCTGCTCTTCTAGACTGGCCCACCTGCTCACCAGGGCTGCTATGGACCAGTGGATCCCAAAGTGAGCTCAGGAAATGAAGTCCTGCTTCCAGGAGGCACTGTGCAGGGTCTCAGGGGGTGAGGGCTTGGTTAGGGCTGGGCACCCGTCAAAGCATCTCAGAGACCTTCTCTCCTGTCTATGTTGAAGTGAAGTGAAAGTTGCTCACTCGTGTCTGACTCCTTGTGACCCCATCGACTATCCAGTCCATGGAATTCTCTAGGCCAGAATCCTGGAGTAGTTAGCCTTTCCCTTCTCCAGGGGATCTTCCCGACCTAGGGATCGAACCCAGGTCTCCCGCATTGCGGGCAGATTCTTTACCAGCTAAGCCACCAGGGAAACCCAAGAATACTGGAGTGGGTAGCCTATCCCTTCTCCAGGGGATCTTCCCGACCCAGGAATCAAACCGGGGTCTCCTGCATTGCAGGCAGATTCTTTACCAGCTGAGCTACCAGGGGAGCCCCTCCATTGCCCTGTCTATGTCAGTTTCCTACTGATGCTGAAATAAATGACAACATAGTGCCTTACATTTTATCTGTTTATCTATCTATTAATTTACTTTCGGCTGTGCTGGGTCTTTCCTGCTCTGCCCGGGCTTTTCTCAAGTTGTGGCAAGAGGGGGCTACTCTCCAGCTGTGGTGCACGGGCTTCTTGCTGTAGTGTCTGCAGGGCACAGGCTCTAGGGTGCCAGGGCTCAGTAGCTGCAGCGTGTGGGTTAGGTGCTCCATGGCACGTGGGACCTTCCTAGAGCAGGGACTGAACCCATCCATGTCCCCTGCATAGGCAGGCAGAATCTCAACCATAGGACCAGCAGGGAAGGCCAATGTAGTGTCTTAACCCGGATTTATGGTCTTAACTGTTCCTACAGGTCAGACAACAGGTCTCACGGGCTAAGGTCAAGGTATCGGCAGGCTACCTTCCTTCTGGAAGCCAGGGGAGAAACGGTTCCTGCCTTTTTCCTGGCTGAGAAGCTGCTCACATTCTTTGGCTCCTGGCCTCTTGCTCCAGCAATCCTGGGCTGAGCCTGTCTTGTGCTGCCATCTCTTTGGTTCTGACTTCCTCTTCCAGCTTCCAAGGATCCCTGTTCTTGCACTGGGCCCACTGGGCCCAATAATACAGGAAAATCTCCCCTGCTCAGGACCCCTCATTTAATCACATCCGCCAAGTCCCTTTTGCCACGTAAGGCAACATGGTCACAGGCTCCGGAGGTCAGGCCGTGGATCTCCCTCTCTCCACCCCCCTCCCCGCCCCCACCTAGACAGTCAACTAAGAAGGGGAGCACCAGGGACCACCGATGTCTTCCAGCCCACCCGGCAGGCAGGCCCGGCAGGCAGACCGGAAGACAGCCTTCTCAGTAACCTTCGGGAGTCTCCACCAGAGCCTTCAGCTTTCTGCAGCTTTCATTTCATGGAGGTGTGGCCAGGGGACCTGCAGGCTGGCTCTCAGGTTTGAGTCTGTTGGCATCCCCTGTTTCACCGCATTCAGAGAAGAAACTGACACTCGGGGCTGTGGGTTTCCCGGTGAAGCACCGAGGCTGCCCACTCACTCACACCAGCGGCCTCAACCGCGCCCCGCACGCATCATCTCGGGAAAGAGGCCCGTTCCGGCCTGGCCGCCTCCTCGCTTCAGGGGGTCGCCGGGGCGGGGCTGGGGGTGGGGGGCCCGCACCTCCCTCTCTGGAGCCTTCTTTCTCCCTGTGCCAGGCTTCTCCCCGCTCCCTTCAGTGCTCTGCGCAAGTGCCACCCTATCAAGGCACTTTCCTGCCTCCCGATCTCCCCTTCCCTTTTCCCCTGGGTTTCCCACCACCTGGGTCCTGTGTTTACACCGTGCGGGGGGCGGGGGGGCGGGGAGCGGCGGGGGTGAGGAGGACCAGAACTTGACTGCCTGGGTTCAAAGCCCCGTGCTCTTTGCAGGACCTCAGGGTGCGGAACCTCCTGCTCTTGGCAGAACCTTGTTTCACCTCTCTGTGCCTCGGTCGTCTCATCTGAGAAAGGGCAACGATCACCGTGCAGACTTCAAAGGGTTCTCAGGAGGAGCAACGGGTTAATTTCATGTGCGCCGCCGAGACCCGCAGGATCACCACGTGACCGGTTCCTCTTTCTCAGACGCTAGAGCGGGAGCTCCGGGGAGGCCGGGTGTTGCCAGACTTGGGGGCTGTCCCCTCCCCCAGGGCTGGAGGAGCAGGCTCCTCGGGCCTGGGGAATTCCGGGGCTGCAGGCAAGTAACCTGCTGTCTCTCCTTCAGGGGTTAAGCGGCCACTTTCTGCATTTGTCCAGGAGAAACCCAGGCTAAGCTCAAGCTCTCTTTCTTGCTTTCTGTGTAAGTCCTGCCTTTTCTCTGGTCTCCGAGAGGCTGGGGCAGGGAGTGGGTCCAATCTGCTTGCTGTTGTTCGCTTACTAAGTATCTGACTTTTTGTGACCCCATTGACTGTAGCCCGTCAGGCTCCTCTGTCCTCCACTATCTCCTGGACTTTGCTCAAACTCGTGTCCACTGAGTTGGTGATGCCATCCAACCATCTCATCCTCTGTCGCCCCCTTCTCCTCCTGCCCTCAATCCTTTCCAGCGTCAGGGTCTTTCCTAATGAGTTGGTTCTTCGCACCAGGTGGCCAAAGTACTGGGCCTTCAGCTTCAGCATCAGTCCTTCCAATGAATAATCGGGGTTGATTTCCTTAAGGATTGAATAACTCTGGACTTATCTGGATGGCTCTAAAGGGTCCATATATTTAGGGCCATATCACCTGCAGTCAATGGTGTTAACAAAGGATTTGTGGGAAGAGAAGAGAATTTCTGGACAAAAGGCTTTAGTTGGAATCCTGATCCTGCCACCAAGAGCCATGCCACAGCACCCTGCCACAACACACGTGAGCCTCAGTTTCCACATGAAAAATGAAATGATACCATCTCTCCTAGAGATGGAGTGAGGGGCAAATATAGGACCACAAATGAAAGGCAAACCAGACACCAAACCATA